ACCAAGAAGGAGGACTTATTGATGTCTTTATTTATGGATATCTATTATAAAGATGCACGTCTCATAGATGACCTCACTTTTTGATAGACATCACATTATCCTTCAGAAGAAACTTACAATTAAAACTCGAGATTAAGTTCTCTGGCCGGTATTAATGTTTGCTGTGTATTCTGGTACGCTGAGTTCCGATGCTTGCAGTCCTTGACCTGTGATTTTTACCAAATACCAGCTAGTTCTAAGTATTAGGCTTAATTGAAATTATATTGATTTTTCTAGATTGTCGCTTTCTAGTTTTCTGTAGTCTTGGTCTAAATCATCTCCCACTTGCTGTCTTTTGAAACGGCATGTTTTTTCCACTGCTGCGATGTCAAATTTTGCTAGATGACAAGGACGGGAACAATATTTATATTTAAAAACTATAGGTTAAATTTGTCCCGGATTTTCTGATGATTCCAGTACCGGGAATAGAAAACGTCGGTCTTACGACGTCTATAAATATCTACAAAAGTGTAAGTGAGTAATATAAATATAGCAAGTATAGGGAAGATGACTTCTATTCTGTAAATATCCAGAGAGGGTAAATATAGCAACCCAGTAGTAGGTAATTTGGAAACTGGTATACATAGGTAATGGGTTTTAACGTTCAATTTCTGCTGGTGTAATTTTAGATTCTTGGATTTGCATCAGTGACTTGATTGATATACCGGGCGTTTAAAAATGTCTTGGATTTGTAAGCAATGTTTATAATGTATTAAAATTATGGTTTTCTTTCTTTCCTTGTATTTCATACTAAAGAGAATTTTGTTTTGTGTTGAGAATTATCGGCATGTCATGGTGTTACTTACGTATGATTATGATTTACAGTAACAGTACACTAATTTACATTGATTTCTCAAAAGTTTTCGACAGGTTAGACCACAATATTCCCCTAAACAAACTGCTGGTTCCTGTTCTCACTTTTACTCTTCTTTTACAGTTATTTAAATAACATAAAACAATATGCGGAGTATCGTGTGGCTTCATGTCCGTCGAAATTCAGGCTCTTGATTGGGTACCACAGGGCTCTATGGTAGGACCCCTTTAATTTTTTTTATTTATTATTGATATAGTCGAAGGTCTAGACGTTAATATCTTACTTTATGCCAATGATGCCAAGATCTCCTATATGTATATGTATTTTATATTAAACAGGTGAAATTGCAAACCAAACCTTTCAAAAATTAAAAAGTTGTGTAATAACCACCTTGCCTCGAATTGTGCAAGCATCATATAATAATTGAATAATAAATAATTAATTGGTAGCAGCTGCTGGATGGTGTATTTCTAAAATAAAAAAGTAGGTATAGAAAACTGAACAGAAAAGATGATTTGCGTTTTAATGAAATTGTATTATTTTTAAATAGCTAGATTTCCTGTGTAACTTTAACTGAATATTATTCAAAAAAATTATTTAATGTGTAATTAAAATATTAACTAATTTGAAACAGTTAAATTGCTTTTGATTGTAGAATTTAATACTTACAATAATGATTACATCTTTCTCGAATATACTTATTGTGATAATTATGAATGCAATTTTGAATGATTGTATTTGGATTCAAGTATTCTGGTGCAAAAAAGCGTGATATCTAAATGAAATATTGCATTGTAAAATATTACTACAATCCTAGTCAAAATGCCCCTTGAAAAATATAGCATTTCCAATTTAGGAGCGCATGAAACGAAGAAACGAAATGAGGATGAATCATAAAATAAATTAAGTAATGTCCCGCTTTAATCATCTCTTCAGACCCTTTAAGTGGTGTTTATGAGTGCATGTGTTTGATTCATTTGTCAATTTTTTCGAGCTGGAATAGATTGGTGTTATTTCCAGAGAGCGAAATAAAATAATTTTAATAGGGAAAACCGATTATATTTTTCGTAAATATAAGTGGGTTATTCCTAGTTGTCGCTGGTTAGGTAAGTTTAGCGCTGCCGTAAGACACTGACGCATCGCAAAAAGAACTCGAAGAACTTTAATTTTCGAACGGAGCGACTAATTTTGATGAGCGAGGACTCAAATTTATTCCGTGGTGTGTGGTATAAAATCACTCAAATATTCCTTAGAACAGATTAATTATTGAAAGGGGGGCATATTTTAGAATTATTTCTAATTACAGTCAGGGGCGGATCCATATATGGATTTTAGGGGGCCGTTTATACAGTTGATAAATAAAGACCAAAAAGAAAAGATTGTGCAGTGAAGAAACCATTTCAGTAGAGTTGGTTCTTTGTTGTTTTATTTTCCGGACCCTTTGGCCCTCCCCTGGATCCGCGCCTGATTACAGTGTCTCAGAAACAGTGTCGGACTGGCAGCACTATAGCTTGCCGGGCAAATGTGTTTTTGGCCCCATATACGGCATATTAATAACTATTAACTCCACTGATTTTTGGGACGAAATTTTACATGCATTTTATGTTGGTAGATATTTCCTATAACACAGGTCAACAAGGGCAGAATTGCACTATCACGTCAGGTTTTTGAGATATCCTAACTTAAAAGTACAAAAAACACTGTTTTCGTTATATCCCCCCAATCCCACAAAACCCGAACCTACAAACGCCAAGTTTACAAACCCCAAGCCCACCAACTCCAAACCCACAAACCGTATGGGTATGAAGTTTCTGAATTGCAATCGACTGCTTGATATCTAAGGAATCCTTAGTAAATTTTCGCATATTAAGAAACTGAGAAACTTAAAAATTTCAACATGTGATATCTCAACGAAAAAAAAGATATTTGAGCAAACTCAACGGCATTCGGGAGCCTTGTACTTTTAGATTCAATGTATTAGTTTTTTGAAAAAGAATAGATGGCATTACTACATAACCCAAAACAGTGTTTTTTGCACTTTTAGGTTAGGATATCCCAAAAACCTGACGTGATAGAGCAATTCTGCTGCCAGATTCGGATTCAGCGCACCTAAATCCTTCGGAAATATATATTCAAGTTTCTGCTTCCAAAAGAAAGTTAAATTTTGTTGGTCTGTGTAATTTTAATTAAAAACCAACGAAATAAGCTTTACAAAAATGCTTTTGCACATAGTCTATGAACGCCAGCTATATGTATCGTTTATTTTATTACACACAAAATAATTATAGGTACTAACTATAAAAAATACAGAAATAAACAACGTATCAATGAAATACCCATAAAATAATATAAATCGAAACAAAATTGTAAGGTTATGTTTCAACTCCTTTATTTATTGAAAATAAAAACGTGGTCAAGTTGGTTCTGAAAATTTGGACGTAGGGCGTAGCGTATAGCAAATGAACTTAAACGTCATCTGTCAAAGCGCTATATCGCCGCTATCAATTTGAATATTTTCGTTTTAAAAAGCGTTTAAAATGGTGTTTTCTCAAGAACAAAAAGTGTTTATCATAGAGTCCTACTTTAGAAATGGACGCAAGATTGATGGAATATGGAAGTATTCTATTGAGGAATGTTTCATAGAATTTCAAAATCAATTTCCCGGCGTTGTTGAGTACAAAATTTTTCAAAGTGCAGTTCAGCGTTGTGTTAATGTTTTTCGTGAAACGGGCAGTGTAACAAGAAAAGAAGGAAGCGGCCGACCTAAAAAGCGGACTGAAGAATTAAAAGAAAATGTCCAACAAATAATGGAAAATGCGCCAAGAACTTCTGTACGTGTTTTATCACAAATGGTGGGAGTATCAGTCGGTACCTGCCACACAGTGTTAAAAAAAGATTTGCGTTTGTTCTCCTATCGTTTAACTTGTCAGCAAGAACTTCATGAAGTTGATTTTCCGCGACGGGCTGTATTTTGTGAATGGTTTTTAAACAACTACGGTGAACTTCATAATATCACCTTTTTTTCTGATGAAGCCTGGTTTCATTTAAGTGGTTACGTAAACTCACAGAATATGAGAATGTGGTCTTCTGAAAAACCAGATAACTTTTTTGTCGAGGGCCCTCTACACGCTCAAAAAATTGGAGTTTGGTGTGCTCTCAATCGAAGGAGGATTTATGGACCTATTTTTTTTAATGGTACTCTTACTGCGCAAAGGTATAGAGAAGAAATTATCGCTCCTTTTGTTAACCAGCTGGAAGAAAACGAAATTACAAACTTTTACTTTCAACAAGATGGCGCAAGGGCACATACGGCAGGCGAGACGATGAATATGTTGAGGGAAGTTTTCCAAAATCGACTAATAAGTCTCAATGCTGAACATGAATTTCCACCGAGGTCATGTGATATTACGCCGTGTGATTTCTTTTTGTGGCCTTACCTTAAAAACACTATTTTTGAACTGCCTATTCCTGATTTAAACCATCTGCAGGCTCGACTTATAGACAAGATTCGTGAAATTAACAATACCCCGAGCATCTTAGAAAATGTCTTTAATTCTTTGAGGAACAGGTGTGAAAAGTGCTTGGAACAAGGAGGGGGACACTTTCAGCAGCTGCTTTAATTTATTGTTATAACAAGGAGGGGGACACTTTCCGCAGCTCCTTTAATTGTTTGTTATTGTTACCACGATTATTCTTTAAAATAAAGTTATATAGTCATTAACGTTATTGAAACTGACAGCTGCTATACAGCTCGTTGAGAAATGGGGTTAAGTTGGTCGCTATAAGCTACTCCCTACGTCCAATGTGTCAAAGCCACCTTCGACCACGTTTTTATTTGAACGCTCGTTACTATAGTTTTCAAAACAAAAACAATGCGTCAGCTATTACTCGAATAAAACGATAATAAGGACGATAGTTGATTCAGTTCTCAGTTGGATTAAGATAGATCATATTCTATCTGTCACTAGATTTTCTATTTTACGCCCAACATCGGCGCCTGCCCCAGCGCACGCCGCTGGAGCAACCGTATCAGCAATAATCAAAGTGAGAGGAAAAGTGAGCGCGTCCGAGCGGGAGAGGGAGAGCTTCAATTTTGCCCGTCGAACGAACGCGACCGGCCGCTTTTCGCTCCCACCGTCTCCGTCTCGTTGGTAACCGTGGAGGCGCTGCGTGCACCGCGTGGGGCTCGCTCGCCGTCGTCGTCGTCGTCGTCGTCGCCGTTGGACTGCTCCCGGCCGCCTTATCAATACGGGCGATCCGGCAACAGCGCCTCGTTCCGCGCTGCGGTGTGTTCCTATATTCAGCGTAACTTGCGACCGAAATGACCTCACACACAATTAATGAATTAATTCTGACAGTTGCTTTAGTTCGTAGCAGGACTGTTTAGTGGTGTAAGCGCGGGTGCAAGTGGTGTTTAGTGCCAGGTTAACATGGACAATACCGAAACCACGTAGGACCATGGCCGAGCAGCAGAGAGAAGCGCCTGAGCGGGAGCTAGAGCAGCAGATCCTGCAGATAAAGAAACAGCACCAACTCCAGCACCAGATCCTGATCCAGCACTTTCAGCAACAGCAGCAGCACCTCGCCGAGCAGCACGAGCAGCAGCTCCGGCAACACCTCAAGGAGTTCTGGGAGAGACAGAAGCAGCTGCAGGAGATCCGCAACAGGGAGCAGCTCGAGGCGCTCAGGAAGAAGGAGAAGCATGAGGAGAGCGCCGTGGCCTCGACGGAGGTCAAGCAGAAGCTGCAGGTCTTCCTGCGACAGCGGGCGTCGGGATGCAAGACGTCGCGCCCCGACAATTCGTGCTGGTAAGTGGATGAGTGTGGTTGAGGGTTGAGTACCTTACAAAGAGCGCCATCAGCTGATTCTTTGCAATCTTACCAACCGAATAAGTACACGTGCTGTTTGTAAACAATTGGTACTTTCTGCTGTTACTGTTTCCACGGCATCCCGTAACTATTTTCCTTTTGTGGAAGCTAAATTACAGCAACAATGACTTACATGCTTTACAAACAGCACCTACAATGATTACGTCGCTATCTGTAACCTATGTTTACCACACATCTCTGCAGAAACTACTTAATGTCTCGGATATTATAAATAGATTACTTATTTCTCTGTTCTGTTTTGGTTTTACCTAAAACTCGTTTTTCTGATTTTTCCACTTTAATTACTTAGGTTTGCTCAAATCGGAAACAATTAAATTTTTGTACTTTCCACTCAACGCAATTTTCTCTGAGCTATGTAACAAAAAAATAGTGTGGGTGGGTAATTTTGATTGATTCCGTGATAATATGCTTTTAATACGCAGTAATTGGGAATGATAAATAAACTGTAAGGCTGGTGCTTAAATTAAAAAATAATAAAGATAGCGTCATCGGTTAACGAGAAAAGGTGGCGGTTTCTATAAATAACGGTCGGTAACGTTAATTATTTTTGCATGATTCAACTATCGGGGAATTAAAAAAAAAACCTAATGGCACGAAAACATGAAAGACAACACAACACAACCTTCACCCGTCAAAAATGGTACATTTTGTTAAAGCGGCATTGATCGCAATCCCGATCGGAATTAGAAGACATGAACGTTACATTACAGGCATGGCAGTAATACATTTGACCTTGAAATTTATATTTTAGTTACTACTTATGGTGATAAGTACATGGTACTTTAGATACCATCGGGTTCAACAAGAAAAATGAGAGATCTAGAAAGAGTGATATTTCTTATAATCGGTGCAGTCACTAGAAATTACTGGTCTTAACTTATCTTAAATCGCAATGAAACCAATTGAATATCTTCCATATACCTATCCTGCTGAAAAACAGACATCATGCCGTACATATACAAAAGAACTATTTGGCTACAGCTTCATAGAAAGCGATAAAAGCGTTTCCAGCGATTTTGACTTCTACAACTTCTACGTTTAGTTTTTCGATTTTAGGGTAGCTATAATGAATGTATTCACAGAGTATCAGCCATATAAGGGCATTATTTTTAATTTTTGTTAAAATGTCGACGAGTAATTTTAAACTACAGAAATCAAACTCGCTCTTAAACGCTTCCAGTGCTCTTGTGTATGAGGCTACTGCGAATATAGTTCAGGTCAATTCCAGAAAATTTATGTATAAAAATATTATTTGTTTGCAAAGTCAAACTGTTGTTTTTTAATTGTAATTTGATGTCATTTTAATTTTTGATAACAATTACGTTACTGTAACATATTATACTTGGGAAATATGATATTCTAAGTGTTTACCAAAACAAACTTGCGATCATAACAAGCAAATAAGGATATTAAGGTCGGTTTATGAGGCATATTGATTTAAACTACACAAATATAGTGTCATATTTTATAAACGGTTTTTAATAGAAAAATAATTATCTACTAATCCGGTGATAAACGTATCTGGGTGCTTTGATTTCGTATCTCCCTCCAATAGTGAATTACACACACACACATGTATTCCGCGTAATAATTAATAAGATTTCAAGGTAAACTTAAAACGAATCATTACTGTAAAATATGTACCAAGTAGTGGCAATAAAAATAGATAATTTATTTTTATACGATATTTATAAATTGTTATCGTTGGCGAGCTTATCTTATTTAATTTCATTTTAATAAATGTACATATTCAAATAACAGAACGGGACGGTTTTTGTGAAAAACGAGATTATTTACCAAATACTGTCTACCGCGTTATACTGCCTACCCCAAGAATTGAAAGTTAAGCGTTTAATTAATTTAATTATGATTATGAGGACGAGGTTTTGGCAAGACACCACCAATTAATTCATTTAAGCGACTTACCTACCTGTTAATGTTTTGATCATTCTTCATGGGTCCAACTGACAGCTGCTAAACAAATAAAATAAGCCGGGTAAGGCGGTTCAAAGTATTTTTAAATAATAAACCACAAATACTGCAATGTATTACTCACAGGACCGTTCTAAATAAAAAATATTGCTCATAATCGAGGTCATAAAGCAAGGTCGGTGGAACTGAACGGGCAGGTGAGGACGATGCCAAAATTTCGAAATTTCGCGGACACTTTTTTTTTAATTTGTCCGTTAGTGAATGTGTTAAAATGTAACGGCGACGTTACTTGCTCCCTCGTGCAGGATATTCCGGATAGTTCATCCCAACCCACACTATAGTTTGGACTCTTCCTGTTGCAATAACTGCATTAAATTGCCACACTGCAACTTGCCTCCCGTATTGCAGAGTGACGGGTCAATTGCTTGCCACCACATACAGGGTGGTCGTCAAGCACGTTCCCACTGTGACTGTACGAATAATTGCCATTATAAGAAATATTATCTAAAATATTTTAGCAGAACAAAAGAACCGTGTTGTTTATTAAGACTTAATAAAAAAATGTGCAATTACATTGCAAATGAAATACAGGCTGTCTCTTAAAAAAAGCCGCAAGCCATAACTGTGTTATTTATAATCTGATTTCAAAAAACAAAAAAAATTTTTTGGAAAGCGATAGCCAACTGATAAAGTGAGCCTGTTGGGGCGTATTTATTATTATTATTATTATTTTGAAAAGCGATAAACTTTTTTTTCAAATGACAATATACAGGGTGGTCCCGAGGTAATGGGCCAAAATTCATGGGTAGATTCCCTAAGCAAAAATATTGCGATTTAGCTGAACTTACCTTAGTCTAAAAGTTGATAGTTAAAGAGATACAGGGTGTTAAATGTAAAATATTAAAATAAGTTTTTTTTATTTATTCCTTAACAAATGCAAATATCCACATAAAATTTTGGGGTTTGGGGTTCTTTGGTTAGAGGAATT